ACAGAAAAAATTTCTATGAAATATAAAAAAATCACAGATATTTGTGATAAAGTTACCACAAATATCTGTGATTTTTTTATATTTCATAAAATATGTTTCTGTTTTTTGAATGAGAATGCTGGGCCACCATACTTGTTCCCTTAGTTAGGTCACTACCCTGGGTACCAGACTCACTATATATTTTTATATAGTGAGTCTGGTACCCAGGTTTTAGGTCACATGATTAAAATAAAAGTGTTTTCAAGTTCTAGATAAGAACAAAAGAACAGAACAATGGATCTCCAGACCAGAGTTTTTTCTATTGACTATGATTTTATTAAGATTTCGTCTAGCCCCAAGTAAACACAGCTGTAATAATGAAGCATCTTATACTTATCATACTTTTACAGGTAAGTAGAGCTGCAGTTATAGCTACCGAAGACTCTAGGTTTTTGCAAGACGTTTTGCGAAGTCGTATTTGCAAGTGTCAAAAGGGCTTTCGTTTTGATAAAGTCTTACGGAAGAAGATTCGGATTATCAAATTTAGCAAACTCTGATCGTGTAAGATGGCATATTTCATATGGCAAAGGGGCGTTAATAGCATAGGCCACAGATGCATTTAATCATGTAACTGTCTTACTTTATCTTAAAGCTTGTTTTGCAGATGAAGCATGTCAACAATTAGCTACTGATATAAGCCGCTTTTCCAGTGCCTGATTCTCTCAAATATGCTGCACTGTCAATGTGGCTAGAAAGCTTTCAAAAGCAACAAATCTCGAGGGTCCTTTTAAATTCAGACAATTTAGCTGTATTAGAGCATCGGGGGTTTTAAATAGAGCTCAAATTCTTTTACAGTCGATGTTCAAGTATTATTCATTGACAATTGGTTTTCTTTTCATAGCAATATGAGTTGGAGATCCACGTTGGGAACCCGTCAGTTTCATCTATTTCAAGAGAACACTGATCTGTAGGATTGAAAAGCAAATCAATAGATTTTAGACGCAAAAGAAGTGCTAGCTGCAGTTAATTAATGACGCCGGAAAAAGGTAAAGAAATATAACTAAGATCAGTTCGTCTGCTACTGTGTGAAAATGAAAGGTAAAAGCTGAGGGTCTGGTGAAGCGTCACAATAGAGTTCATTCATTTCTAAGTTGCATTAATCTAAAGATGCTTCACGGTTTTGTTTATTCCAATTTATTATGATAAATTTGGTTAAGGTTACAGAAATGCTAAATCTTGCAAAGGGTACTAAGGGTTTTAAAGGCTGTTGGGTTATTTCTGCTATTAGGGGCAAATCTTCACTATTTTCATTAGGGGGGTTTGAAGCTTCGATGCCCGACAAAAGGGCGTGTCATGCTTGATGGAAGGGCGTGTCATGCCTGCACATCATTTTTAGGGCAAATCGCCTCAAGGGTTGAAATCATCGGGGACCCCGAGAGAGGGTCACTAAGTGTGTTAGGCCTTCAGACTCAGGCTGTTTTTCAAAGCAAACAAAATATGCCTCTTGTTTTTCTGGTGTTGGCTATAAACATTTGTTTCCGAAAAGCAAACGTTTGTAAGGCCTGTTTTTTCTATGAAAGAAAAATAGTCTTCACTTTCTTAATCTCTTAGCTATAAAGAGAGCAATTTAAAATAGATATTGAAATAGAGTCTCATTTTGATCACAGTGGAACAACAAAACACAGCTTGGAAATTTTGGAATTTAGAAACAGACTACAATGTCTCAACAAAAATAGTAATCTTATAAAAGAGCACCAGTTTTATTTTCTGAGTTTGATTTGGTTGCTCCGTAAGGAAATTAAACATTTTTAGACACCCAAGCACAAAGTATCTCTGAATTCACCATAACAAAATCCCTCAAGCTTATGCAAAGAAAACCCTTTTTATTGGAAATATTTTACAGGTATACCTATCATCAAAGCTCAATTTTCGTGTTTTCGTAATTATGGATACTGCTCAGAAACAGCAAAAATTCGAATTCTTTTGCAATTCTAATCTTAACAATAATTCCTTTAAAAATGTTCCATTATTTCCCGCTTGAACTATCAGCTCAAAACTTTCTGTTACTTGTTACAGCCATTTAAACTCTCTTTAGTTAACATAACGGTCTTTCTGGCGAAAGGTGCAATACTTTCGGACCGTAAAAGTAAAACCTTAAGAGAATCTCGGGGCATAACTCCTAATAAATGTATGATGAGGGTTTCATACATTTGGAAAAGAAAATGATGCTTGATTGTTCTCATCAACGTATTCCGAGATGGCATATCCTTCATGCTTTGATTTATGATGCTTCTAAGATGGTCAGTGTTCCACAGGCTCCGAAGCATGATGTAAAGTGGGGGGGGGGGGCGATCAAGGGAAAATTTAGGAATCCTAACAAAAGATTTTGAAAAAAGTATATTGTTTTGCAAAAAAGTGAGGGGCCATGCCCTGTGTTCATTTCCTTCTTGAATCAAACACACTTCTATACTTTCGCTGTCGATCAATACTTCAGACTCTATTTTCGCATCTCGAGGCGAAAAAAACATGTGCACGTCGAGCTCAAGACGAGAGACAGAAATGTAATTATGTTGCTGTTGCTTGCCTCGTTTCTGTTTTGTTTTCCCAGCTGGGCGGAGATTGAAACAAGATGGGGGTAAAAAGACCATTAATTCAAAAACCAAGCTATGGCAAAAGATAGCAATGAATCTGCGACGTAAACAAAATTTCCAGAATTGAACGACTGATATACTGGGAGCCAAAAATTGGGGGTGCAGCACCCCGCCCCCATAACCCCACAACAGTTTGCTCCTGTTTGCTATGCAGAGGGGTAACCATAATAAAGAATGACGTGGTTGGAAATTTTTGCAGCTATAAGAGCGCCTACGCCATGTATACAAAAAGTTTTTTAACAACCAACCTAAGGATGCAAATGCTATGCTAGCTGCATTCAAAATTGTGCAAAGAAATAGAGAGAGAGACAGGAACATTGTATTTTTTTGCTTTAAAAGTGTACCAGGAACACAAAAGTTCTAGCAACCTCCGCTTCCCCGCTTCTGTGCTTCTCCGCTTCTGTGCTTCTCCACTTCTCCGCATCTGCGATTGGTTTTCCTTATCCGTGCTTGGAATTGTGGTTCTGCTACCAAGGGGGTCCAGGCTCAAACCCTATTGCAAAAAAACAATCTTGCTATCAAAATTGGAATGATAATTTTCAAAATAGTATCCTTGAAGCAGTTATTTCACAGATACATCGCAATAGGCGTTTTACTTCCAGAATCGAGTGATCTGCTCTTGCATATTATCAATTTCATTTACCATAAGAAACGGATCATTCCTTTTGGTGTCTTGTTGGTTCGAATGCATGAAAGTTGGGCACTCTAGGCTCATTGTTTTGTTGAAGTGGCAAAACAGACGACACTATTCATAAATTGGTATATTTACGGGAATTTGTAATGGCTTTTAAATTACACAGTGTGACCAATATTTCAACACATATTGGTCGCTATACATTCCATATGCATCGATATTATCTTCAGGTTTTCAATATTGCTTGCACCAAAAAAGACATAAGCATTAGTTCATTGCATAGGCGTACGGGACAGGGGGGCTGGGGGGCTGAAGCCCCCCTTAGATTCGGGCAGCTGATTTTTTCGGGCAGAATTCGGGCATGAGCCTTCTCCAAAAGCAAAAAGTACAAGAAAAACTACATTTTTAACATGGATAGAATATCTGAGATGAAAAAATCAAGTGGTCGTAATCGTGAGCGCTTTCAGAAGTATTGGGATATGGTAAAAATATATTGGGTGAAAATAACACAAAAGAGTGAACAGAACAGCAACAGCCCAATTAGTGCTTGAGAAGATTGTCGAAGAAGTAAAAGAAAGTGGCTATTATGCTCTCACTTTCGTCAGCACGAATAAATGTTAGTTTGTGTCATTTTTGCACTGAATGGTGTCCGAAAGGAAGTTTTTGCTAAATTTTACAAAACTCGGTCTTCAGCAATTGTACAAATTCGGCTTAAAAGCGCATGTAGAAACTTGTTGGTAAATGCTTCGACGGTCTAAAATGAGCGGCAAAGCTTCAGGTTCAAAAGTTATTAAAACTTGAGCAAAGCTTTACAGATCTGGACGTTAAAGCACCTTGGATGTTTTCATCCACTGTTTCACGACACACTAGCGTGAAAATTCTCTAATTTCACTTAATTGGTCCATAGAATTGAAAGAAAAGCGTTTTTCAACCTTTGCTCAAGAAATTTCTTTCAATTCTATGGACCCTTCGACAGAAAACATCATAAAGGTTTGCTTCTTCTACAAATAGATTATCAGTTTCTGACTCTCTAGAAATGGAACACAAACTGTGCAATAATCACAAGAGTAGGCAGGTAGGCAAAAAAGTGCGCGAATTGCTGAAAATGATGCAAATCTTGTTCACAAATGGATATCGATAAAATAATCGACATATTTGGTCGCTGTCGTGGAAGAGTTTCGTTTATTTTTAATGAAGATGTGTGAAGTTTTAAAAATGCTTATTAGTTAACATTATTTAAATTACGTTGCATTTTTATCATTTCTTGACTAATATTAGAAGCTCACATGTGTTAAAGTATACTCCTAAAATCTTTAGGCGTTATCATTTTTTGGGAAAAAAAATTTCAGCCCCCTATTCCTGAACTCACCCAGTACGCCTATGGTTCATTGTACAGTAGCTTTCTACTGCTTCAACCTTACTTCTTTCAACTGAATTGGCTCATTCATTCTGTATATTAAATTTGTCAGGAAACTTCTGGCATGCCTGACCGTATGGTACCTCTAGCAACTCTAATCCCTTCCCACGACTATGTAATCATATGTGAGGAAGAGTCTCTGATGACGTAACTTAGAGCTAGTACCCGAGCAGTTTACAACAAAGATCGCATTGTTTTTACCTCAAAGAATTTTATTAATAACATTGTGCTCACTAACCAATGACATTAAACAGAATTCATTGGATTTAAAAAGAGACAAAAGTTAGTCCGTTATGCCAATCTTCGGGCGTCTTTATACATATGAGTTAAGACTTTAGTTTTTGAAAATTGGAATTAAGATCAAAAAGCAAAAGTGCAATAAGGTTTTGTAAATTCCTCTGAGGCACCTTATAAAAGGCGGAGTTAGTAAATAGAATTCCTTCAAATTTTACTACGGTAAGCAGTAGTCAGCTGAGCAAGAGGCCCGAATCCTGCGAAATTTGTGGGTCCTATGGTTGATGTAAAAAGGGAGAAGAATTTGCATCGAAGTAACAGCCTGTCAATCAAGCATATTCAACGGATAGTTGGAGGTTGGTTCTAGGCTCTTGAACTGCAATTCAAAAAGCTTTATAGTTCATTGAATGAGCTTTTTTGAAAAGATAATCACTGATTTGGATTATTTTTATCACGTTGCCTTTTGTCTTCACAAGCACGATCGCAAGAAAGCGGTATTGAGGAGGGCATAAATCGTATCTTGATGTTGACATTTTTAATGAGTATTGAGCTGGAGTTTGTGTCGGTTTCTGGTATTGGTTCACAGCACATAACCACAGCAGTTCGTGAAATGGACTGCCAAGGAATAAATTGCGAAGAGAGGCTCACATTTTAAAACCTGGTTTTGATATCAAAATAAACTAAACAAACAAATAGCCAAACAAGAGCAGAGGGAACAACCAGAAAGGCCCGAATATGGACAGTACTGGCAAACATGTATCAATCGCGCCCATAATTGAGATAGAAGATATTGAAGATGAAGAGGAGACACCCACTAGGTTACATGGAATTTTACGAAGGAGAAAATCGTTACCCGATGCCAGCGAAAAACGTAAAAGCAGTGATGAAGATAACTTAGAATGTCTTGAGAACATGCTGATATCAACTGTAATCGGGAATAAAAATCACGTTGATGAAAAAAATGTATTGCCTGTACGGCGATGCTTGAACCGAGCAGCCAGCAGTTCCAAAGTGCAATACGCCATGATACGCTCTGCCATTAGCGAAGGAAGTTATCTTGAGCTACAAACATTGCTGAGACGAAGAGATGTTCGAATTAATGAGATCGAAGGAGACGGTATGGCAGCTATCCATTTTGCTGCTATGTACGGCACTCCGGAATCAGTAGAAATTTTAATCAACGAAGGGGCTAAAGTTAATTTTCCTAACAACACTGGAGAGTACCCTTTGGACATTGCGGTTAAGAATGGAAATTTCGAGATAGCCCAGTTTCTAATTGAAAAGGGTGCTCGGTTGGACAACGTCATTAACGGCACACCTTCAAAGAAAGAACGTGGATATCGCTCTAATCGGCTGAGAGAAAGGTCAAAAACTATCGACGCATCTTATTGCTGAGCGAACAACTCGAACATGACTATTTGGTATGGTAAAAAGAAGTAACAGGAAATTCAAAAGGGAATCTCAGGCTTTGCTGTTTTAACAAAGGATTTTGAAATCCGTGCTCTGGTTTCATGAGGATTTATTTGGTATTGTTTGTAAGCTGGTGGAATTTTTTGATGAAATTTGTTATCTGGAATTTACATATTAGATGTGCAAGATTGTTGGATGCTGTTTTTTCAACAGAAGCCTGACATTTAGACAGTCATGGATACGAAATTCTGAACATAATGAAGTATTTGCTTAAAGATAGTTTTTCGTATTGTGCTTTCTTTTTGGTGTATGTGGCGACTTTTTTAGCCATCCCAGAACACTTATTTCTTTGTTTTGGAAAAGAGATGCACTAGTATAAATTAAAAGGTGGTATTAGGGTGTAGCTAAAGCTCGTTTGGGAAAATCTCGCCTTGTCGGCAGATTTGAGAAGTGACCCTCTTTTCCCAGGGCGAGTCCCTAGTCTCTGGGGTAATCCTCCGTCCTGGAGTCAGAGAACATGCGTAATGTTTACTTCTTTCAATGCGCATACTCCCTGTCTCCAAGACGGGGGGTTGCTACCTTGGTTGCCAAACTCGCTCTTTATAAAATAAGAGAACGTCGTGTTCTGCTCAACGTTTTACACCTGAGTTTATTTCAATGAAGTTTATTGTTTCCCTGTGACCTTTGAACGTACAGAAATATGTACACTTGCTCCTGATTGAGTAATATCAGCACACCAGAACGAGGAGAGGGGGCACTAAACCAGACTCTCTCTTATTTGATACAGAGTGAGTCTGGCACCCAGGGTAGAGGGTTGTCTAACTAATTGAAAATTTTCTTTTGCCCGTATCCCATTCAAGAAAGTGAAAAATAATTTGCAGGAGAGGACGATGGGAAAATAATGACGCACAAGCTCTTACATCAGCTGTCATAAAGCAAATGGAAAATTATCTGAAAAAAATAACTTAATGGAAAATGAAGTCTCTCGAAGCACCAGGAACCACCTTCGCTACTGCGGGTGGCCCTACCGAGCATCACTGTTTAATTCACATAAAATATAAACAATAACATATGTTTTAGCGAAATTGAATATTTTATTATTAACATTTGCTTAAACACTTCATTAGAGGTTCGAGAAAAAAGTAGTAGATTTTCGTTATTGGTAAATAGTAGAAATGTTAATTTTCTGACAGATAAGAATTCTTGTTCTTTACGGTTTTTCTTTTATTCAGCGAAACGTTATTCAAATCTAGTTTCAACTTCTGATTCTAAAATTTCATTAACAAAATAATCTAATTTTTCATAAGAAAATTAAAAATTGAAGGTTAGCAAAATTTATCGAATTTCTTCGCTTTTTCGCTTTTTTAAACTTGACAATAGAATTAAAACTTGTGTTAACAACAGAATCAGTGGCGGTGCCAGCCACTAGTTTTTTGAGGGAGGTTAGTTAAAGAAATCTAGGACTCCCATTTTTACTGCCCTTTACCAAAAGGGAACATAAATTTTAGCAGTTAAGAACGCCAATTACCAGCTTTTCGTTAAAGCCTTTTCATAATGAAAGACGAAGTCACAAAATGTATTTCGCCAGTAGATCATCTTTCCCTTAACATTTTCTCATTGATTTTAAAAGAAATAAAAAATAAATCTTGCCGAGAGATGATGTTGAGGGGAGCGGGTCGCTATTGGACAGAATCCTTTGTCATTTGATTTCAAATTTAAATTAATTTCATTGTGTTGCCAAAGCAACAATTATCTTTGTAAACACATTTTCTTGAATCAATAAGGTTTTAACTACAAAAGTTTTTTTTTTAGCTCTAGCTAAATAACAATCCAGTCACGAAAAAAATTTGCAGTTACAGCTAGGGAAGGTGCAAATTGCTCCACTTGTCCATTTCTATGCTTCTTTTGTTAAAAACATTTATGAATTAGGTTTTTTTTACTTTTAGTCAACAAGTTGCTTCTATTCAAATTTTTTGCTTTCCTATAGTTAATTTTCACCGGACATAACTAAAGTAGCAAGAGCAGTGGTGGCACCAGCTACAAGGCTGTGGGAAGGTGTAACCCTTGTCTACTGGCAGAAAACGCCCTTATAAAATGTCAATTTCACCAATAGGTGGGGGGGGGGGCGCCCACTAACTTTTCATTACATAAAGGCAGTTACAAATTATAGGATTACATAAAAAATAATAGGTCACCAAAACAATAATTCTTCCTTACAATTTTTGCATCGAATTTGGACGAATACAAAATCGATCCTGCCAAGAACAACGGAGGGGCGGGGGACGTATTCCCCCCAGTCCTCACTCCATGGCGCCGCCGTTGAGCCTGCAGAATATTGAAAGAACTAGGGCACTAAGAAAAATAGGGCAATAACTGTGTACTACTTTTTCATTAACTGCAAGTGTTGTGGTTTCCAAGAACAATCTTCACCGAACAGCACTGACAACATTCTTAAATGCTCTGGTCGGCTTATGGAATTCTCAGACCCAATGTGTAAAAGCAATTGCCTTTGTGTGAGGTCCCTTACGTATTTGTGACTCGTGACTGTTTTTGCGAGAGTATTTGGATCAAGCTAAAGAAAAAGAGAAATATTTTCAGACATTTGTGACAGGAGCTTTAAGGCTTGTAATTTGATTTCAATAAACAAAAATATTAGTATTTTGTCTTTTGTGCACATTTTGAGGACGAGGCACAGTAAAGTAGGCGCTGTCGTGTTTTCGATAAGCAGTTCTAAAGCTGTGTATCATCATTACGAAGGGAAAACTTCGTTCCAAATCAGAGGTTTGAAACCTCTTTACGTTAATGAAAAATCAAATCGTTCAAGAAATTAAGTTATTAGGAGTTTGTGAATAGCCAATCTCAAGCCCTCCTTGGCTCAAAATTAACGCGGATTTGTTATTGAGTACAACAGCCGTTTTCTAGAATCCAACAATAACAGATTTTTCGAAAATACTTTAGACATCCTTCAGCAAATTTCACCCTACTTATTTTGCTTGGCGTTGGTGAAATCTTTCGTAATTGGCCTAAATTTACCTGCAAGTAAATCATAAAGAGAAAAATAACAACTCTGAATTGAATATTGTTTGGAAAAATGGGTATACAAGAGCATAACTCCCTAACCCTCTCAGATCGTTTAGAGTCTCAGTTACTTTAAAATATGATGTTTTTTGTTTGAAAATACTTTAATGACATGATGCTTTCCTTAGCGATACTTTTAAAGAACTACGTCACTGTGCCGCATTTCAGTCTGTTGGGGCCCTGGGCCCAAAGTCAATTGGGGCCCTTTAAAATATACCAAACAATTTGTGTCACGTACACAGTACTTGGCTAAACATAATCAAACATAATCAACCAACTGTAAGACACGAATAAACTTGTACCCATTTCACATTTCAGTACATTCCCAATAAAACTACCCAGCTGCTGAAAACCTTTCGATGGTTTTATTGGGGTTTAAAACTCCCAGGACACTCTCAAAATCTGCTGCGATAAAACTTAAGGCAACAACGTGCTACTGTGACATTGTGGACCTTAGTTCACACTCATTTTATTTACCCGTTTCAGCATGGTGAAACATTTTTCACCGGAGAAACCTCTGTATGACAAATTGAGCACAAAACTAAGTACAGTCATTGCATTGGGGGAAGCTCCAACCAGGACAAGCGAAAGTTTCAAAAGCCCTGGGGTAAAAACAGAATATGAGGCCCCCTGTGAATGGAGCGAGCTGAAAATTCTTGTGACCACGACCTTTATTCCATTTTTGAAATGGAGTCCGTTACTCTACGAGGCCTCCTAGCTCCACTCAAACACAGTATTGAAATCAAGACCACTTACAATGCTTTTAAAATTTTGCCCGGGCCAAGTGGGCCTATGGGTAAATGCGTCACTGCTACGTCGTGTCCTTTTTATCTGTATCTTCACCATTCTATTCTCTTAATGAGTCATTTAATCAACTATAGCGAATGCCTTTATCTTGCCGTAGCTTCAAGATGAATCAAATGGATCATCAGAGTCAATTGGATCAGAAGAATGAAAAACAACATATCTGACGTTCACAGGTGATGTCAAAACTTTTATAATGCTAGTTAAGAGGAATAAGGGCTTCAACAAAGTTTGAATTAATTTTGCAGTGTAGTGAGGCTTTGAAGTCCATTCATCGCCACACCTTTTCGATATAATCGTGATAAAAAAACCACTCTACATAAAATAATATCGAATCGTGCGCCAAAATGAGAGTCTCTTTTGCGATCATGGAAAATTTGAATTTCAAATTTCTCATTAAGAACTTTAGTTTTCTGTAGCAATAATAAACATTGAAAATAAATCCTTTTTACGTTCTCCGATCATGAAATTCCTTTACTGCCCTTTTTAGTGTGACTGTAAAATGTTTATTTGCCAACACTTTCGAGATCATGCATGTTGGCATATAAAATCCAGGCTTGTCTATAAGAATTTGTAAAATCTTATCCTTTCTAATCACCTTATTATTGATGGTGGGTGAAAGCTATACCAATATTTCCTACTTGTCGTGACAGAATGAAGGTAAGGATTGAATTATCGTGACGTTGTCGCCAACGCTGATGTTCAGATGCTCATTCTTTGTTCACTTATTTTTTATTTTATTCCAAAACTTTGTGGAGGGTTGAATGATTAATTAAAAAAGAGGATGCTGGTATATTCCGGAAATGGGGATGGAAATGGTCGAAACTCTTGTCGACTCTATTTTCAACAGACACCTTAGAGAATTTCTTTTAACCAACGGTTTTGCCTTTAAAGGACATTAAGAAATCAGCACTTGTTGGTTTGGCAATCATTGTTCTTCGTTTTTTGACGTTTCTTCGTAGTACTGTAGACATACTGTTCTTAAGCAAACTTTTGCCCAATCATCATAATCATCATTGAATTTACATTCAACAAACCTTTTGGGTCATACAAATGTCTGCCCAGTCAACTACAACATTAAAATTTACTGAAATCCTTGATATCCTTGCCATTTTTGTTACCAGTTCGTGATACTATCTCAAACTCAAATGCTGGTATTCCGTATTATTTTAAAAAGTTTAAACAATTCTTTCATTAAAGGGTTTTGACATAAAAGGGGGCATTATGAAGCCTGACTCTTTGATGCTACAGCCATTGTTTTTCATATTTTCGTGTTTATTTGTTATTTCTGCTAGCAGTTCCTCGAGCTATCTTGAATCCAAGTGCTAGTTTTTTTTGCTTGTTTACTAAATTCTTTAAAGACAGCAAGTTATTTTGTTTACAATCATTCGGCATAATATTATTTTGCAAGAAATGTAACCAATTATCGGCAAGCTCAGTCAAGGCTGTGATGGGTGGGCTTTTGGCCAAACAACTTGCCCAGAAAAATTCCCTGTTCTTGAATCAAAGGTTGGATTTTGAAGGGTCCACTCTCTGTTATTGACACAAACGACGTATTTTATGCTTCTTTGCATGCTTCGAAAAATTGAGGCATGACTAAACATTTTTGCTCAACATTGTCGTACCGAAGCAGTCTCTAAAAAAATTTTTACTGTATGAAATAAATAAACGTTAAAATAAACCTATTGCTTTTATGCTATTTGCAAAGTAGATCAAGACGGCGTAATTTTCTTATTTCAAAATTTTATGATATGATCATACTTAAAACATACTTGCATCAAATGAATAACCTGACTAGATTTGAATAAGATACGTTTGAAGTATCAATTTGTTGATGTAGGTCGGATAACTTCTTTTCCCACCTATTTCGATTTCAAGAAGCTACAAGCTCGACTTGTTGCAAAGAGGACTTTGAAAGTATGAAAATTTTAAATTCGTTGATAGAAAGCAAATTTCAGGCAACAATCTTTCATGCTCAGAAATTTCTGAGGTTATGGGCGTTGGCAATATTTATGTCTTGTGCTGCAACAATCTTTTGCGAAGCATCGAATTGAGATATCCAGTTAGTGTATCTTTAATTAGAATAAACTCTACTGTGCCAGCTCAGTGATCTATATGCTACCGGGAATCTTGAAGAACTTAAACCCCCTCCAATTTCCAGATTTCAACCTCCCTGTCCAATCATTGGCTATCTTCCGTGAATATCTGCACGTCATCAACCAAAACCAAAACCGATTGTAACATTGCATGCAAAATTATATTTTTTTTTGGTTTCTGCTCATCACTTTTTGTTTTTTTTCATCAAATCTGTAAGCAAATTTTTTATATCTAGAAAAAAAGCTTTAAAAATACATGTTTGCCACACTATGCTTTATCCTAATCCTATGGTGTAAAGTCACATCGGCTTATTCTGAAACAATGAAATAAAAGTATTGATGTAGACGTTGTTTCATAGACAGAAAGCTTAGGGGGAGAAAAGCTTAGACGGAGAAAAGCTTAGACGGAGAAAAGCTTAGACAGAGAGAAGCTTAGACGGAGAAAAGCTTAGACAGAGAAAAGCTTAGACAGAGAAAAGCTTAGACAGAAAAAGTTTATAATATATTTTCAGTGGGAGCTGCTTGATTTATTTCATTTATGATCTACATCCAGTATGTGTAAACAATGTATCTCAATTTTCTTGTTTGCATGATCAAACAGCATTTTAGTACTGAACTTGAAGTTTTGTGCCAGTTCCTTACATCCGTTCAATAAATATACTTGATTGCTTAATTTTTCATCGTTCTTTTTAATGAAAGTTATATTAATGAAAGAAAGAATAAATAGAACTTTACAAAATTTTATTTTTTAAAGGCAGAAGTTCTCATATATTTAACGAGACCAGCAAAATATATTAAAACGATGCATTCGGTTTAAATAGTAAAATTAATGAATGAAAGAAAATTTTTAATGATTAATATTCCATTCTATTTCGCACGTTGAAATCTATTTAGGCATTTTCCTTCTGGGCAGGATGGACATTTTAAAATATATATTTGTACGATTAAAAATCCTTTATTAATATTTATCGGGCTTTTAAAAATGGAATAAGACATAAAAATTCTTAAGCATACTTGATTACGTGTCGTACAATTAAGTAAAAGTATATCAGTATAACTCAATTTAATGATAAACTATAGGTTAAAAGAAAGATAAAATTATATCAAAGACGCTTCTTGCATGACAAAGCCTTGCTTTTGTTCCTCAAATACAATTTATTTCTATTTCTAGTCGTTCCTAATGTTGACCCTCGTATTATAATAGGATATTGTAGAACCGGTCATTAATTAGTCTCAAGCTTTCATTTCTTCTTGCCTTTATTCGGGCACCGCGGAGCAGGGAGGGCTGGGAGGCTTTAGAAAAAAATGCCAAATATTAACTAATAGACTACCAGCAAAGCCTCTTTTTATATGGTTTTAACTCCCCAATTTTTTTATGTCTCTCCCCCCCCTTTTCTCAACGCTCTGCGTTGCTTGTTATTTGCTGCAGGCACAAATGTTATTTTAGCTGTTGGTCTTTAAAGGGTCTGGCGCAACCGGCATGCTTTGCAACAATATTTTCAAAACCGCCCTAAAATCGTACTGCATGAAAATACCAAAAACTGTGAAATTCTTCTCGAATAGATGTCAGCTTCTGCAATGCATGCTTGTTGTGCGAGAACCTTTTAGATCATTTAAGAGAAATTCCAATGTTTTTGTTGTTTATCGTTTGTCTTTACTGTATCTTATTTTCAATGAAGTACAGTCTCTTCTAGATTCTGTACCGAGAGGAAGGGTAACTTGAAGTCAGTCTTATTCAAAACGAAACAGTTACAAAAACGTACATAAACATTCTTTGTTTTGAAGATAAGATCTTGGATATATGGAATTTCTTCTTAGACGTAATGAACTCTACAAATCACCTCAGATTCTCTTACCAAATTACACAGATATGTGCAACATTCTCTACTATCATGAAAAAGAGGTCTGGACACTAATCAAGGCATCATACGTAATGATCTGAAAACAAACTCATCCAAAATATGGATCCTTAATGACAAGATTATAAATTAAATGATGCCTTGTATGAGAATAATATCACTGTTTAGGTGGCATGGCAGACTTGGATTTGATGACTGTTTTGTTGATTGAATGCTTTAGCTGGAACTCGTTTGCTTTTCTTCGTTTGTTTTATGTGGGATTTCGTCTGCTTACCTTTGTAAAATAACATTTGGAAGTTCGTTCTTGAAAACATTTGATTTCCTAACTATTTCTGTCTATCCTCAAATGAATACTCTTTCATGTTATTCTGCTGTCATGATTGTCGTCTGAAGCCTATGCTCTTTATGTTAGAAAAACGGGGGAAATAAGCCGCAGATCTGATAGACGTCTAAATGATTAATGATCATTATACCTATTTTGTGTATCGATAAACCTTCCAAATGCCAATTTTTGTTTAATCCATAAAGTAATATATTCATGCTGCGAGGACAATCCAAAGCTGCGAAGGAGGTATGTTGCTACGAAGGAGAAATCATCTGTTCTATCTTTTTGCCCTTTACACAGTCACATATCTCCTCCACAGCTTGCTGGCTTAGTTGATTGGATGTTTTCAAAAAGCAGACGTTGGAAAGTCACGTGCAACAGCAGGCATACAACATTTCCTTCCCGCTGTTAAATTCTTTTGTGGCTGCGCTCCACAAGTATGATGTCTAGTTTCTATGATGTTTATAAATCGAAAGAAAGCTAATGCTGCTAATACCCTGGATCAAAGCCCAGCAAGTGGTGATTTGGATTTTCCGAAACGATAATGTATTATAAACTGAATTTAATTATCTTCTTAATGAGATAACTAATGCCATCAGTTGAGGATTATTACTAGAATTTTGTTTTTTGTCCCTTTTTTAATGCTGATTCAATACAGATCACAAGAAACTCCCTCATTAAAACCTAGGCCCAAAGAGTATGTCAAGGTACAACAGTCAAGCTAGCAGGAGCTTAATCTTGCAAAATTAAATTAAACGTCAAACAGACATGCCTAATTTACTACGATCAAAAATGTTGCAAAGAACTTTTCTTTAATGATATTGTGATATCAAAATGTCAATTTAGGTTATGGCTTGCCCGAAAACTTTCCAATCAAAGGAAAGTCTTGCAGCTATGGATCAACCTTGTTCCTTTACATACAGTCAATGAATGTTTCAACTACATCGAGATAAGAAAGGAACAGCCCGAGTGGATTGGAGGTTCATGTAAAGAAAAGAATTGGAAAGACATATTGCTAGTTATATGATAGGCTGTCTGACTGATACTGTCAATCTTGCAATTAGTAATAACACGATCAGAGCAATAGTCTGGATCAATGCAAAGCGACCAAGGGAATCCAATGTTGTAAAATATAATTTTGGAATTAGTTGAATATGTACTAAGACTTCGCATTAAGTGGCGTACCCAGGGCTGTTGAAGGGGTCGGGGGGTCTGGGCGCAGCCCCAAGAAATTTTTTGGACTTTTTGCAATGCGGGGAAACGCCCTTTTTGCAAAATGTTCCCCCATTATTTGATTCATGTTAGCTATGGCAAATAGCAAAGCATTTAGCAATTGTTTTTGACACAAGCATACAGTATACTACCCCCCACCTCCCACAATGAGTTTTAAATCGTTTTTGGACAAATCTCGAGGACCATATTTTAGAAAAGTGGGGGGGCCGGACCCCCTATCCCCTCCCTTGGGTACATTCCTCGCCTTGGCATACAGGGCATCATCAGAGTGAATGTAACGAGCGAGTATATATTTAATCTATTTCAGAATTCTATTCTACAACATGGGATTCTCTTCGTCGTTTTCATTGTTATTGACTTTTACCTTCATTATTAGTTGCCACATTCACCCACCAAAAAGGTTTCCCAAACTAAACAGGCAAACATAAAAAGATCTACACCTCTCACTTCTAAAAGAATACGAGCTTTAAAATTTACACTAGTCACCATTACAAGGAGAAATTATAGGCCTATCTATTTGCTTTAGTGTTTTGTGTGCAAAAATTTAATTTTTCCTTTCATATGTCATCGGTAATATCTTTTAACAATATTCAGCTGATATTTCTGTATTGCTTGTGACAAATTACATTGACACATTACTAGCTTCTCTGAAACGTTTTTGTTTCATTATAGCATCGCGTTTGTCACTATTTTTATGAATTTTTTAAAAGTTGTGAAAAGAGTTGATTAAGGTTTGAGGTTTAGAAAATAGAGAATGAAGGATAATCTGCACTTTGCTTTCATTTAGATTAAAAACCATGCTCTTATTTTGTCAGAATACATATAGTCATGATCTGCAAACCACCCCCCCCCCCTCCCCAACCCCGCATTCCAACGCCCTATAAAATATATAGGTTCCCCATAACATACAGATGTCATTAGCAAAATCAGAATAAAACTAGCAAAATGATTCATTCATTGGTTTATTTTTTATAAAATGGATTATATAAAAGAACTGATACCTACGAAAATGTTTAAAAACAATTTATATTTCAAAGACTAGTTAAGTTTAAAATCATTTACCAAATTAACATACACAAAAATATACTAGTACCACACCCTGCAAATATTTTACAATCTGAAAATAATTTGAAAATACAATTGAAAACACTCTAATCCAATGACAGCGCTACGGGATGGACAATTGGGGACACATCTCCAAGTTCTCGATAGTAGCGAATTTGTATTTCGCCCATATATTTCAAGTATTCCGTCGATGAGCGAATGTTTGGAGAGATACAATATTTTGGTAATGTATTGGCAAAAGGGCTTTGCCAAAAAAATTCACCCCCCCCCCCTCCCCCCTAAAAGTTATGTGGCTGGTGCCGCCACGACTCTAAACCTTTACAAACACACAGTTTTAATGCTTGTTTGCTGTTCAAAAGGCATCACCATGAGTTTCTCCTTTAAAATCATTATTTTCTTGAAAATTTAATTTCTTAACATCAAATCTATAATTGGATTACAAAACTTCACTTTATTTCTTTGCATTGATATAAATTGAAGCAAAATATTGGATATGTACAAATGCAAGCAAATTGCATTAATGGATATGTACAAATGCAAGCAAAATATTATTTCCCGAACTTCACACCACAGTAGATATTGTATGAGATCTTCCCATCCGTCGTTGCTTGTGTTTCGTTGGCGGTGTTCCGTTTATGATGTTATCAACACATGCCCCTTTTTCTATAAGATATTTTGCAAGATCGTAGTTTCCCGCACGTACCGCTAGGTCTAACGGATAATCGCCGTCCGTGTTTTTTACGTTCGTTTTCGCACCAAAACATAGCAACATGTCAACAACCTTCGGAGTGCCTAGCACTGCCGCGTGGTGTAATGCGGCAAACCCATCTGCCCCGAGCGTATTTATGTCATCGTGCTTTCGATTGAGTATGTTCAATAGTTCAAGTCTGTTATTAGTCTTGATTGCTGCACGGATTCGCGCGTATTCCACTTGAGCGAAACTGGACACGCGGCAAAGCTTTTGCCGTTTTCTGGAGAACTGTTCAGCTTCTAGTTCGGAAAATTTAAAATCCATCGTTTTAGGCCTTAAACGCATCTCTGAGCTAATTCCCTCGTTGGATGAAGCTTCCTCTTGAAGTCGATCTGGTAGAGATTTTGATCGATGCAATGTCCTCGATATTACGCTGCACTTACGCTGCCTTGAAGATTTCCGCTTTTTCGGTTGCAGCATTTCGTTGTCGCTCATCCTTAGAATTATAAGCGGCGGCTCCTCAATTTCTCTTTCTTTCACAGTTACTTTCGTATTTCTGTGTTCACTGTAAGAAATGTTAAAAGACATTCAATAAAAATAATAACCGCTTGTTATAATGCTTGCACATCAAAAGTGGTAAACAAGAAAGTGACGAATTGGTTGATGTTCTAGTAAGTGATACACAGTAGCACTTTGTCTTCAGCTATTTTGACAGACAAACCTTCTCTTTTTCCTTATGCTGTACTGCTTGCTGCAAGCACCCATAGATCTACTGACGCAAAGCTAGGGTATCTTGCTAATATCGAGGCAAAGATTGAATTAATTTCCTCAATTGCAACTCACAAAGATAGAATAAATGTCATTTTTTGTTTTCCTAGTTAAATACCTTTTTTGACCTTGCATAGAGCATTGTTTCTTGCAATACATTTGGGAAAAGGCATAGAATATTTTCAGCATCATTAACCTAGAAATTCACTTGATGACGTAGAGTGAAGGAACATGTTCCCCCACAACAACAGGCTAAAAATATATCACACAATGCAAGCAATTTCCCTATCTCTCAAAACCATGACCACCGTATTGCTTTAAAAGTCCACAAATTAGCAGCCATAAGCAACTGAAATCAAGGCATATTCAACGGAAATCAGACACAATTTTTGTTTCTGGTGACAATTGACTATCAAATAGGCAGGAAATCGAAAGCTAGATAAACACGCTGCTCTAGGAATCTGAAATAAAAATTGCAACGGATGTATATGACTAAAATGATTAAAGCAGTTATCTTTTGTAAATTGTAGCCGATGCCCCAAAGAAGCAATTCACATTTATCTTTTATTATGATAAAGCCAATAGTTCTTCTTTGAAAAAATTTTTTCAATTAAGAATTCAAACAATAACTTTTGCATTAAAGTTGATGACAAACGTTCGAATCTTCAATAGATTCCAAACGTGCCTTCTATCACACAGATCTAGAACATAATTTTTACATGAATAAGTTTTAAAAAATCCAATTCTTATTGCTATAAATATACATACCAGAAACAGCCTTGCTCGCACAAGCAATATATTCTTTGTATATTGCTATCAGAGTGATAATTCTTGGTTTCTTCGTCTTGTTGCGTCACCATGATCGCTATAACTAAACAATCTTGCCTGGTCTTCTGCTTATGAGGGCAACAAACATGCATGTCTAATCGACATTAATCTCGCAATGAAAGAGCACGGGAAGATTGAATACTGATACCACTATATTAAACTCCCACGCCATAATGAAAATAATTATGCGAATGTACTATCCTACCAAGTAAGGTTAATCTGATTTTTGGTATTGCACTTGGGGGCTTAATCCCAGGCCAGCATCGCTTTTGAGAGCCACGGGATATTGACGTCATAGTTGGCTTTCTGCTGCTGCATCTTGTAAACAACCTAAACAATCGATGGAGTGCGCTGAAAATGAATCAAAATGAGTTAGTCCTTTGGAGAGGAAATTAGTTTGATTTGTATATAAAACTGATCTTAGATTCTCTGAGATGATGGAAACAAAACGGGTAGAGAAATTGGGGTCAGGATAGGGGCAGTAGCCCCATTTGTCTTATTTGAAAGAGTGGGAACGTTTTATATTGCATGTTTTCTCCTTCTTGCTTCGTTTAATTGTTCATCTATTCCGTATCTGAAATGATAGTTAAAACAGAGAGATGGGGGCAGGAAGAAAGAGAGATAGCCTCGTTTTTTTGGACGAGTGGAAATGTTTGATTTTGCATGTTTATCAGAATATTAAATTTTTGAAACACCATTACGTAAGCATTCTACGTCTTACTATTCTTTCTCGAAAGAACGCAAACATTTGAATAAGCTCACAAATTGGAAAAGGTTTCACCTCTTTTTTATATTATTTTCCAGTCAGTTTTTATGCATACTATTTTCCTTTTTAAAACTTCACCGTCATAGGTGCAAAATTAGTTAAATGTGCTAAGAATTGGCTGAGATCTGGTCACATGAGCATAGGTTCCTTCCCCATAAAACCCCTGTAATTATGTCTTTGCTCATAACTTAATGAACAGGGTCAAATTGGCAGTAATATGTTAGCAAACTCCACAATCTTTTATTGGCCCTATTTCCCCAATTTTTCATATACAGTATTTGACTGATTTTGCTTATTTCAAAGTACTTCATGTTGCTCAAAAATTTTCTTAAGACATTAGCTAAATTAAAGTCTAACACATTTTTCATACTAAGAAATACAATTCATGTACACGACCAGCTCCCCCAGTTCTCGGCAGGATCAATTTTTTATTTCATCTAAAGTCGATTGGGAAAGGGGTAATATTTGACAGCTACTTTATGTGATGTAATTCTATGATTTTTAAGACAACTTCTACGTAACCAAAAGTAAGTCATGGGCGTTCCCTTCGGATAGAACTGGTGTTTCCTGTTGGGAAAAGGGCGTTTTCTGGTGGTAAGAAGGGCGTGGCCTATATATTTTCTATTATCCCCCAGGACTAAGTGGCAGAGAATTTTACTCCCTGAATAGAAATGTGCATCTACTTTATATCGAGGCTTTTTCAACAGGTCATGTTTACACATCCAAAATGCAGACATTGCAATGATGCAAAAATGTTATAGGCAAATAACAGAAATATGTTTTAATTAGTTAGTAAACAGATCAAATAAAATCAAGCTGTAAATAATCAGCTTGTTCTCTATTTATTTCATATTCTGTTTCCAAAAAAAATAAAAAACAGTCAAAAAATTTATGTCTCTAAAAAAGTGAAGGGGTGGGGGTGGGGTTTCAGCCCAAGTGGCGCCGTGCCTGCAAAGATACTTTCCAGTATCTTTGGTGCCTGGCTTGACGCTGTTCTGCGTGCGCAAACGTGAGAAAATGAGATCGAGGTTGCCTGCCAAGTAGCGGGAAATACAAGAAAAGTGTTTTAGTTTTTTTCATCACAGTTTCATCTTAGTCTAGAAGCTACATAGGTCCAATTTCCCACGGCTGGGTCGTTATGTTATCGATATATTTAGTACACTGTTATAAAGGAAATATACTACACTACAGTTTGACAATTATTGGGGGCTCCAGCCCCCACACCCCCGGTTCCAACGGGACTGATTAGGCCCTTGACCAGACCATAAATGGTTTGGGGTATGTTTCTAGCTTAAAAATTTGCCATCTACTCTACACAGGCAGTGTCTACTCTCAACAAAGGCCGCCAAAATTCTTAAATCACAACTTGTTTTTTTTTAAATTGTATGCTTCAATTGTGCATGTTCGATCGGGAATGTTCATGTTCCTCTCACAATTAAAGATGGCAAAGATAAGTGTAACGATCAACCTGTTTTTCCCAAGTCTCAACAAAGCTTGCATGTCTTGTTGTTAGGTTGAAAATCTCGCTCCCAGTCACCTCAATTACGGTGAATTATTTCTTTTAAACCTCGCACTTGGAGATGGCCTTCCTCACAGTTGCTTTCAAAAGGTTTATTGTTTGCATGCGTTCCACGTGTTCGCAATATCGCTGCCATTTTCCTTTCATTTGCTGCCTGCGTCTCGCAAAGCTCAGTCGCTCGCACTGACGCGTCGGTTGATATGACGTCTGCAAGCCTGGGCGTTTTGAGTCATTTTATTAGCTTTTATAAATTGATCATTTACAAACAGAAAACTCTTCCACTTTATTAGCAATTGATAGTTATTGATCTATCAAATAAATTCTAATTTTGTCAAGTTACTGGTTCTTCTAAAAAGAGAGTGTAAATATATGAACAATTTTTCTGGCGGTACAGAACTTGAAAATGGCTTTGAAAAAGCCAAACATTTTACAACATATTGGTTAAAAACGTTTTCGTCCAACTTCCTCAGAGCACAAAACATCAGAAAAAGGGTCCGAAAGAACATGATGAAAAATATATACCCAGTTGCCAGACTGCAAAGTTTGGGTATGCGCGGGGAAAGCGTTCCCCGCGCAATAATTTTTTGCTCAAATCCCGTCCGCGCATTTTTGCAAATTTAGATTAATCCGAGCAGTTGGAATATGGACTTTCGTGTGAATTCCGCGCATAGCCTAATGTCGAGCCGTAAAAGTGCTATTTAAAAATGAAATCCCGCAGCTTTTAACCTGTCATTTTGCAACATGATTTGTTCCCGCGCAAGCGTAAGCGACAGAAAATAATTCCCCGCGCACAAAAAATACTTTGCACTCTGGCCAGTTGTGAATCGAAATAGGCCAATCAGAAAAACGCAAGCACAAGACCGGTATAGTTGACCAATCAGTGCTGCATGCCTATAGAAAAATTACCACTGGAGGCCAAGAGAGAAAACGAACTCCTTCTGTCTACACAATGGCGGCTTTTCCGTTTATATGTAGATCGATTCCAAAACTGCTAGTAAATAGTAAAAACTAAGGTTTTTGAGCACTTGTCTGTAAATCCTTGAGAATTTTTAGCTGCCTTCCTCTTTTGCACTGAAATGAGTTATTTAGCTAAATTATGTTGAAAGTGAATTTCAAAAAATTTGATAAAATATATATTTTTGATGATTTGAAACAAAGACAGTCAACATGTTATAATGAAGCAGAAATCATTCCAAGATTATTGTCCAAAATTTTTGATAAATTTATCCATTCTTGTTACCCAACATTGCAAGAATAATGCAACTATTTTTCCTTGTGGAAGAATCCTTCAAACAAAACACTTTACAAAACAACTTAAAACTTCTATTTCTTAAATAGTCTTTTATTTTTTATTTTTACAATAAACCAACAACATCTTGAGGATTCACACAAGACTCTTGTTTTGGGGCAATGTAATTTTTAATAAAACCTTATGTTAAGACATTCATTATGAAAAAAGGAATCCTGAATTGAAATTTAAAAATATATCCACAAGTTTACTTCTAATTTTTGAAAGAAAGCCTAGTGAAAGTAAAGATTTGCAAGTAATATGGTTTTGGTTTTATCATTTTTCTGTAATTCTTTATTAGCATTTACAAATATCAAATATTTAAAAAGTTTATCTAGGAAGTCAGATATCAAACAGCTGTAGTATCCTATGGCCTCGAGGCACTTTTTCTTAGTGATCAAGCTTTACTTAGTATATCAAACAGCTTTTTGTAGATTTTGTGGATAATAGATCACAGTTCTTATTTACAGATCATAGAGAAAAGGAATTAAATTTGAATTCTAGGAAGACAGACAGCTTTACAAAGAGTAGCTACAGTACTGAGAGTAATTTCTTTCAGAGTAATTGGACTAGTAAAAGAAATGTTTTTGCTGTGAAAGTTTTATTATTTTTCATTCTCATTTTTACAAAGTTTTCCTTACCCAGGAGGAGAACAGTCAAGTTTAAGTCAATTTCTTATATGAAATTTTTCAAGACATGCTGTCAACATAAATCTCACAAAATTAATAAGTGTATTCACTACCCCTATTGTTGGAGCTTTTTTAAGAGCCATTAGAATGGTACGTAGTTCCATGGACAAATGTGTACTGCTTATTTGCGCAGGGATATGACATTTTTGAGAAGTAACAGCTCGTTTTTCAGCGGACTGGCAGTTACTCCAGACTACATTGTGTCCATCTTTTAGCTTTACAATGCATAAGCTGGTTTAAAAAGGTATCAAATAACTTATATTTTACATACATCAACTGCTATTCTAAAGTCCTAAATGAAGCCTTGATCCCCAAACTGAGTTTAATCAAAATGGGTTTTGAACCCAAATGCACTTTGTGTCATTATATCTTGTTTTTAAAAAAAAATTTTACACACAAATTTCACGAATCATTGCAACCAATAGGGGAGAGTCTGTTTAATTGTTTTCTTTAAATATATATTCAAAACTTCAAATTTCATTTTATAAGTAGAAATGAAATGATATTCCACACTTCTATTTTTATCACTAACCTTTCTCTTGCTAACTACCACCACACTATTCAAATAATGAATGTTGCAATAAGATGAGCGTTTCAATGCTATTCATTTTATTTTTGCAGTCCAAAAGGGATGTAATTATTTCGACAAGTTCTCTAACGTTCATTACACGATATTTTATTAATTCATCAATACTTCTATAAATTATGAATTTCCTAAAAATTGTTTTAACAATTAACAACATAATGTTTCTAACTATCATAATTTTCCTTGATGAAGTCGAAGATTTGGAATAGCTTTTTGATACAAGCAGGCACTAGCCTCGAGACCATGTTCTTCTGATGACGTCATAAAAGAGTTCTCAGTCCGACGATGAGGGTAATTATACTCAACTTCTTGAATTGTTGGGTAGTAGCACTGGTTTTCCCTGCATGAATATCGATAGGTGGATGAAAAGCTGTCAATTTCCTCTGTTTGTGACTCTGAAGGTGACGGAAGATCAACCGCGTCTAAGCTTGGAGAACTCTCCCCATACGACATGCTTGGGCTTGTGGGTGACGGCGTATCTTCGCTCTGTGCGAGTATCACACTTTGTCGTGAAGATCGGTACAGCCACATTGGATCTGACACGTACAGTCTTGAGCGCATTGGCCATTTCTGAAAGATATGGTTTTTTCTAATGATATTCGTCATGGTAAATGACAAGTCTCAGTGGGGTCTACAATGCTCAAGCCAATATCGCAAAATTAATTCCACTTGAAACAATGAAGATATGAAGCCTGTCGATTACTGTTTTATTTTTTGGCCTTCATTTCACAGTGCTATTGACATAAAGCTTTGATAGTTAGAGCTACAGACAGAGGTAATTTCAAGTGAAAACACGAAAAATTTTGTTATTATTCTTGAAACATTTGAATTCGATAACTTTTCCACAATTATTAATTAAAATATGACTCGTCACATTGCCGCTAAATTTGCTAACACCTTCTGCGGAATAAAATCCTTTGGTTTTAGTAACCTGTTACCTCACTGTTTCGCAGATGGCCTAATGAGTCGATACCGTACGAACTTTTTTGACAGTGATATTACAGTAAAAAAGAACAAATAAAGTCTAAAGTACATTGAAATACTTTGGTAGGGAGCTAGGTAAAGATGTATTTTTTCTGGCCTATAAAGATTTACAATCCAGTTGGTGCAAAATTCTAATCTAAATTTTTTCCCTGTCTTCTTCTTGTTCTTCTCGTGTCTTGTTCTTTACCAGAAATTCTTAGCAGTTTTTTATTTGCTAGAATAATATCAGGACTCAATAAAGCGACCTACACCCTTGAGGTTTCTTGAAAGACATTCATTGGCATTGTGTGAAACTAAGATACTGTTGAGTTGGTCTGACACAACCAGTAGCCACAACCTGAAGTACGTGAAAGTCATCTTTAGGGTTTAGCTTCCTATCGAAAATACAAAAACCTGCAAGGTTTCTTTTTGCTATCCTTTTTGACACTTTCATGTGATGGCTCCCTTTTTTTCTTTCAACAACAACAGCACGCTCTGTTAGCAAAACATATTGCTTTGCAATCAGGTTGGCGTAAGATTTGCATGATTACTCTCTATTCTGTTCACCTCTAATCATCTTGCATGCATTAGCACTAATCTTGCTCGCATTAACATCACTGTCCAATTAGCACCACGTTTACAGAGTAGTTCAAAAGGCTTTGCATTGTTTTGAGTAATCCACAACTGAGAAATTTCTTCTTGCTTGTTCCGATGCCCGTTGTTCCAAGTGCATAGTCGAAGTTACCCAGTCGCGTGAAGAAAGGTTAAATCCGCGTAAGAAGTCCTATCCTGTCTCCTGCTATCATGAAAATCTTGACTCTTTTTTCTATTCTAATCCTCTTAAATAACTTTTTTCGTTTTCTCTTCTTATAGAGATGTATCAATGGTACGTCGTCCTAAGTTGGCTAGAAGGATAATTCAGATTTAATATGTAATTCAGCAAAATCCTTCATAAAGCAGACATCCGCAAGACTAAAGCATTTTTTCCTTAGGTGGCAGTTTTCTCGAGATTTCTTCTGCGATGCTTCGAGAGCAAAGTTCGACTGTTTCTCCGTTTGACGGCTTGTCTGTTACTGGATGGTGTCCGTAAACAAGTGGTGTCCGTTATCGGATTGTGTTCGTTATTGTGTGGTGTCCGTTATTTAATGGTGTCCGTTATTGGGTAGTGTCCGTTACTTGGTTATATCCGAAAGAGATGTTTCAAAAAAAATTTTATTCCCAAATTGATCTCGATTATTTTCTCAAAAAATATGATTTTTTGCACACTGTTGACATGACCTGAATAGGGTACACAATTCTTTATTGAGAATAACTTGATTTGTTCTTTTTTCCCACCTTTTTTTAAATTTCGTGCCAGCATTGCGTACCTGAGCAAGTTGCAAAAACTTGCTATGACTTTCTGAAGATTGTGCCGAGTAATGAATCAATTGAGAATGGAAAACAGCTTAGTCCTAGGTCAGTTTGGAAGCAGTGCAACTAAACTTCAGTTTAAATACTCGATAAAAATAAAGTTTAGATGTGATGACGTCACAAGTACAATTAAAATTTTCAAATTTAGACCACATAGCAATAATCAGCTAACTCGACATCGCTATTATAATACCTGAAATTTATCAAAAAGATCGCTGAAGTACCGATACAAAATAACATATAACGATATTTTGACAGAGATAGTGAAAAAGTTCATGGGACCAAATTTGGTTAACTTTAACTGTTGAAGGATAGGAACAATTACTTACTTTGTTCTTGCAGACAAAATCACTAAAATTTACAATTTATATAGAATAATTTTTATAACGCCTCAATGACTTACCTTTTTACCTCCCATGGTTGTATCACTTTGGCTGGATACAACCATTGAAATGAGATTTCGCTTTATGACAACGGAATGCCATTTTTTTAAGGTACTTTTTGAGAGCCATATAGCTCTTTTATCAACGAATAAAGATCTTAGCTATAAGTTAGGGCAAATTTAAACTATGATGGCGAGTCTTGTTTTTTGGAAAGTTGGCAATCATTATATTCTGGGGAACTGTGGTTTTGCTGGAATAAACAGCCCCTTCTTTTCTTTTAAAAGCGATGCCTGATTATAAGTTGCTCTTTTTCTTTAAAATTGATCAATCGCTCTAATCATACCTATGATAAATCGTTCAAGTCAATGTGATGCTTTTTCCCTTATAGACATCAAATAAAAATTTCTTGCGTGGAACCTAGCTTTTTTCTACTGTACCCTGACTGTAGTGCCATTCTTTACTAGTGATTTATTTGCGACTCAGTGTCTGAAGAAATATTGAACCAATGCATCGTATATGAAAGAAACATATCATTAATTACTACGGTGATAGAATGGCTTGTGATGACGTCACAAAATTATTTTTAGAACCGCTGATAACAGAACTTGAAAGAGCATTATGAAATACTTCTGGATATGACGAATAGTTTTGAAAGAGCATTATGAAATACTTCTGGATATGACGGTTTATTGAGATGGGACGTATGAGCAAATGTTGTTTCCCTTACAAATTATGGTAACTCGATCGTAGCTTAGTATTAATTGTACGATTTATAAAGCAAGTCAAAACTATTGTTATCCAGTAGCATACTTCAGGTCTTCAATTTGCCATGTCGGAGCCATTTTGTGACAGATTGACTTGATTTGTGGATCTTGACATATGGAGTGACATATGATATGTTTAAAGAATTCAAAACCTAAAAGAAGTACTTTTGGTCATTTCATTACTCGGCCAGTTGCAGGAATAGCAATTCACAAACCAACGGAAAATGCGTATTCTTGAGTTCTTGATATAGGGTTATTGTATGTTTTAAAGTAATAATACGGTGCTGTACAATGGATACTTGATGTATGTATGATGAGGGGATATATCAACGCCTATTCCAGGAAAGTTACAATTCAAATTATTAACATTAAGATTGCTTCCCTGCAACCCTTTTTCACATTGGAATTTAGAAGGTCCAATCAGAGCTATGAAAGTAAAAATGAAAATTTAAATTCGTTAATGACGGCAGCTCTTCGTTCTCAGCTGATTTTCAAAGGGGGCAATCATGAGGTAAAAATACTTAAAAAACCAAAATACTTGATTAAGTTGCTAATTAAAATTTGCGGAAAATATCTGTAAGATTAAAAGATTATTACAATACAATATCTATAACAAATCAATAAAATTCTAGCTTTTCACTATAAATGCAATTTTTTTATTGAAACAGTTTTCAAAGGTAAAAGAGCCAGGAATTGCTTGGCTCCTTTTGTTAAGCCGTCTCAAGAACTCGCTTTCTGAATAAGAACTCGCGTTTTGCAGCGGTCGTTCGTTTTATGCACTGTGGATAGTGCATTGTGGGAAGGTCTCTACAACAAAATATCATGCTGCTCTCTATCTTCTATAATCTTACGTGAAGCCAACACTAAAGCACTCTTTCCGTTCTTGTCTTTGACCTTATCTTTTCCATCTCCACAGCAATGCTTTGACTGTTTAGCTTGCTGTCTAAAGCATATGTAGTGTATCATAATCGTGTTTCTTATATGAAGTACTAGGTTGTAGTTTTCCAGCTATATTTACTGTTTCCGTTGGATTTTTACTATTGATTCCAAAATCATCAGACGATTGGTGACCCCAATATAAGAAATTCACAATCATTTGACAGCATATGTTTGACACTTCATATACCTGTGTTTATCAATTTTTCCATATATATATTAAAAATGTTTTCAACTTTTCCATATCTTCCCTTAAGTCAACCATTTCAACTTCCACATTTCAATTTTCACCTGCTTTCTCAATGGTTTTCCTGTCATTTTTTCTTTCTCTTGTTGTGATGTTTAACCCCTCCTTATTATTACCGATCTTTCCCAAAGCATACATGTGAATCATTTCTTAAGCTATTTTTAAATTCTGATCATTGTTAATCGAGACACGACGTTTCCTTATTTTTTATTAAGTTGACAAAAATATCTGTAATAAATGACCATAATCAAGGCGTGCCTCCATTAATTAAGCCTCAGTGAATGATAGGCTCTTGCGCAACCGGCCCACTTTTCAATTGTAATTCAAAATACCGGCCATTAGGCTACATGAAAATACAAAGTACAGTCAATTTACCAAAACAACTGCCGCTAAGCATGCCGGTTGAGCAAGAGCCGTTAATGTCCGAACACTTTTCTGCAGCAACAAACATTAACTAGCAAAAGAAACTCTTATCGTTTCTACTCTTATCTCCCTCTTTCATTGCAGTTAGGTCAATATCATTCTTTCTGAATCTATTTGGTGCAGGATTCTTCCAGTTCTTGGTAAATTGTCTTTGTTTTAAAAGCTGCTTTTAGTCCAATCCGATGCGAAGCCAAAATAATTCTGAGTAAGCTCTGTTTATTGATCTCTTTCCTATTGTACAGAGAGTTGATTAGTTTCATGGAATCCACGAATCAAGCCAAAGCTTTTATAAGGCCAGTCATAACAGTAGGATAAAAATACTTCATTTGCTTTCGAGACAGGCTAATTTTGTTTAAAAAGGTTAATCTTGAGAAAAAATCAGCAAATTCTGACTTGCGCTAATGTTGCATGGATGAAAATGAACCCGGAAAGTGGCCATGTTTCTGCTTGTACAGTTGGTTTGTAGTTAAGATAGAAGCTGTACATCTAGGTAGCCTTGCGAAGATCTTTGATGTCTTGTGCTTTAAAGAATGTCTACATATCGTTTATTGCTACCAATTATTTGGAAATAAATTAGGGTTAACAGATGGATGGTACGCCTTTTGGGTGTCTCTTGGGCATTTGTTTATGATAAATAAAAACTGAAGAGCATGGTTTTTTCAATTTTATTGCAATTATTAAATTTTTATTCAATATCTGAATGCCTATCTGGGAAAGCTAACATTGACTAGCTAACGAAACACTAATTTATATTTATTATCGAAATTCTTCTTTCCTTCCCTTCATTGTGTTCACGTGAATTACTTTCTCACAAAGGTTAGAAAGAAAATTTTGGTCATTTTGTATTTCATGTAAAACTTTCTATTTGGCAGAAAATATCTAGAATATAGGAATTACGTTTTCATTGCTTAGTTTATAATTGTGTTACTCGATTCACGGATAGATAGGTTAAAGAATATTATCGTTGAATGGATATATCTAATCGAATTGACGTTAGATATAGCTAATTCAATTTTTTTCATTCTAGGACCAACATATTCAATGTAGTTAAGTTCTGTCGATCATGCTATAGTACTGAATGTTATGTGGTGGGGATCACAATTTGTATACAAGCACTGATCAGATTGTGTACATTTTTGGGGGTAAACAATTTGAAAATTGCTTTGAAAAATGTAAGATGTTTGCTTTCATCAGTAATCAATAATAAAATCCATTTAAAATGAAATATTAAATCACAATTAATATATTTATGTTTTTAAGGTAGATTTATACTTGGCTGAATAGAGATAGAGTACCAAAAGTCCGGAACAACCTGCTACATCCTGGCTGACGACAAAGGACTCAGAGTGAGTTTCTTAAGCAAACAAATTTTATTATTCTTCCAATTCTACTTGTGAATCCCGATAGGTCTGTTGCCTCTTATTGCCCTATTGTACTTCAGAGATTTTGCAATAGATGCAACTGTCATAAGCAAATTCAAACAAGATTCCAGGTTTTCGATTAGCTGTACTGCGCTGTAGAGTTAAATATGACATCTAATATAGTCACCTCATATGTTTACAGATGCATATAGCTTTCAGAAGTGCCATGATGCCGTTCTTTGAAATACATTAGCGAGTTTCGTAACTAGTTTATTTCAATCCAACTGTTCTTTAATCTTTAGAGACAGTTTTTGTCATTTCATTTCAGGTTTTTTCTTTTTTGGCGCATTATCCCAATCTAGATGTTAATCTAACATCTTTATTGTCTGTGTGAATGCTATTTTTTCAACTATTCTTTACATTTCATTTCATTTGATAAAGGACATCAGTTTTTCTTTAAGCTTCATTGATCTCTACAAACCGTAGGTAAGAGGCGTTTTGTTGAGACTAGGAGCCAACTGTTCTGTTTTGCTTTGTTTTGCTATCTCAAATGTTTTGCTATCCAAACTCCGGTGTGATATATGTTTTAGGTGATAGCTATATTACTTCAACAGCTAGAGCCTGCCTCTTTTTTCATCAAATAATTATCCAGTCTATCTTTCTGTGACTGAGCTTATCTCTCTGTCTACTTATTGTAAAAATATCCCATTTGAAGTTGTCTCTATTTTGTCTAGGCGTTTTTTATTACCTTGCTTTGCGACTTTTTATAATGATTTTGTAGACCCATTTATCTTATCTTGGTTGTTTTAGTATAAAATTCAGTATAAAATTTCCTATATGCTAAGTTTGTAAATCTCATAATTTTCATAGACTTTATTGTTTGTCAAAGCTGTACCTGTAGGAGATTAAGGAATATGCACGAAGAGTAATTCGGAACAGCGATTTGTATTTTCAGACAGTGATATGATTAGGTAGCAAGTTGGGAGTTAGCAGAGATTGGAGTATTAATGTCAGATGAGTAATTAGTTGTGATGGAAATTGAAGTTCATGGTGAAGATGGTAGTTTAAAGCAACCTTGGGTGTTATATTTAGTAAAGTTCTGATGATGAGTTTCATTATATCTTTACCTTATTATATGTTCTTTGTTATATTTCTGTTCGATGTAAATGCATTTTATCAAAATGATTGGTAAACAAAAATACATTGTATTTGTATCATGCCGGACGATATTATATTGCATGTTAACTACTATATTTCGGGTTTATTTTTCTTCATTGCATCTCTTTATAAAAAAGATGTGAGCGTGCTTAATATATGAATTGCATAAATTGGTTTACGTTGTAGTTACAGCATTAGAAACAATAGCGAATTACTAATTGCTGTTGAGTCAAGGCTTTCATCTTTTGTGGCATCAGAAGAATTTTCAATGCTTGAACCATTTTTAAGTGTTTCTGTAAGTTAGTTCTCAAACTTTAAATGACAAAGTTGCAGTTTTTCTCTTCAGACTGGAGGCAAATTCTTTCAGTACATTCTTATAATGCCGTGGGATTTCCATTTGTTTGTAATTTTTGTTGTTTGGTTTGGGTGTCCCTACCCCTAAACGTTGCCCAATTTAAAGCCAGCAACACATCAAGAATCGCTACAAAATATAACTTTTGAGGTACTAAGCTCCTGTCTAAAAACTTTGCCTTAATAGGTGAAAAAACTCTCCAATTATCATTCTTAAAGTCCCAACGTAGAAACCAGGAGTTTCACGAGAGGTGTGAAATTGAACTGCTTGGTATTAAGTTATTGCACTGCTTATCGACATAACTAAGAGATTTGTTTGTTGATTTCGCTGAGGTAAATAAGAGCAGATATGTTTATGTTTTGATTTACTTCTTTTGTTTACAGTTAAGCTATATTATGAAAATCATAAAAATCATGAGCAATTGTTATGGCTATTAAAGAATATTCCCTGTCCAAAGCTCAAGATCAAACCATTCTTCTAGGGCTGCAGCTTTCTGATAACCTCTATTAAGACAAAAGTGTCTATATTCAAATTGTGTCATACGTAGTACTGCTCGCCATATTTTAAAGAGCAACTTCGAACGCTCCAATAATGTATTGTAACAAACACTTTATATCTAAACTCACTCTCACACTATTACAGAGCCTTTCCTCAAAGGGTAAATTTGGTCTCAATTTCTGTTTGCAATCTCTGCTCTCTCAAAACACATTGGTCGTTCTATCTAGCCTTGATCATGTAAACATGGGAGTATTGATATCGGCCTTAATAATGCTCAATTTTTTTCTCAAGCACTTTTTCCTTACTTGAGTTTTCGCAAGCTTGTTTTGTTGGTATTTTTTTTGCATAAAAGGTTGTTGTAAGAGCCAAATGTATTTGTAATTTCAACTGTTTGCTGTCTAGTGAGGTTTTTGAAAAGTCATCTCTGCTTCCAGGTGATTTTTCAAGAAATTTTACGTCCTTTTTCAAGAAATCATTTGACACCTTTAAACTGAAAGAATTTTTTTAGTACTTAATACAAACTCTTTGTTGCCCCACACAGAATATTAGTATCTGTGTGCTTTCTTTTGTATTTTATGCTGTACTAGCCTAAAAGCTTTTTCGTCTGACACCCCTCAGAGCATAAAACATCAGAAAAAGATTTCCTCAGAAAAAGATGGAAAATTTATACCCAGTTGTGGATCGAAATAGGCCGTATGCTGCATGCCATAAAATGTTTGCTTTTTTTAAGGCATTTTAAAATTTTGTACCGCCAGTAAGATTGTTCGTTTGTTTATCAATTAACCAAAGCCTGCAAAAAATGTTGAATGTTCAGCGACAGTATCTGTCGTCAGAGATTCACCCTCTTCTCTCTTTTCTCGAATACAATGTCGATAGTTCAAGTAAATATAACACCATATGCGGGAAAAGCATTTGGTAACTGACAGTAAAGCAACATTGGAGATACAAAAATGAAGATGGAATAGGAAAGTTGAAGAATTCGAAACTACCGCGATCTTGGCTTGACATAAAGAGCAACAGTGTTTATTTAATTTGACGTTGAAAAAATGAGTGCCTCTAAACTTATGTTTCGATAGATAGTCTTTTCCAAATTTATTGTCTGGATACTTACTACCTTACGGCAAGTTTCCCATTAGTTAACTTCCAAAATAGTCTTTTTCCGCCTCTTTTTCCTTATTTCAATACATTAGTTCTACATTTCAATACACTGATTTTATCTAATTTCTATCTTTGAGTTCGTTCTTTCCTTGCGTGATATTTTATTTTTATTCATTTACTCTGCATTCACTCTGTCCTATTTCTATTCAAACACTAAGTCAATGATAATGAGTATGTGGATAACGTCTTGAGAATTGTTTTACATAGAGGGCCTAATGTAATCAATAAATGCTAAGTTTTATAGAGCTTTTTCAACTGGCTAAGCTTTAAACAGCGAAGTGTCTGCAACCACCACTAACTGAGAAATATAAATGAAAATTTTCTGAAGTTTATATTTCTCGAATATTATTTTAGTCAAGTAGGTCTTTTAACGATGTAATCTTAGTTCTTAGTCTACTTTTTTCTTTATTGTTTATTCAGAATATCTTTGCTCCATCATTGGTATATTAATTTGAAATAAATGCTGCTTTTTTTGTCCAACAACAGAAATGAGTGTGTATAGATAGATCACAATTAGCCCTTACTGGGCCTTTTCATTTTTCTTGCATTTTTCGCTTTATTGTTCTTTAGCCCCATTTGTACTACTGGGACGATATACATACAAAATGAATCATCATACCTTTATCGGATGCAGTGTCCCTGTATCCTTTAGCCTACTTAGATGTTCCTTTAAATGACCATTCGATAGCTTGCTCATCAGATGGGATATGTAATTTGTTGCTAATAGCAAAATGTCCAGTTTTGAAAGCTTGGTCCCAGACGGGACGTTAGGCAGAGCTCTTTGCAGTTCTAAAAATGCTTGTTTTAAGTTTTGTACCCTGGAACGCTCTCTCGCTGCATTTGTACTTGGTTTTATCGACTTTTTACCTCTTGTGCGTTTACTTTGTATCTTAGTACAAGTTTCCTTATTGCTTGCATCATCCTCGGAACTTTTGTTGGCCCTGGCACATCCAGTGTCCCTCTCTTCAGGGAACCTTTCATTGTCTCTCTCTTTAGCCATCTTTTTGGTCTCTTGACGCTCGCTACATTCTTTATGACTCTTTGGATGTCAGTTTATGTTTGAATGTATTTACAAGGTTCTAATAACTCACGCGTCCCGGCTTTCCGGGGGAATGCTAGATGTGGTAAAGTTGTGTGGATTAGTACCGGTCCAGGGGGTGCTGGGCGCACAACCGATACACTTGGAGGATTTGTCACCTTCTTTCGAGAAATCTCTTGTAGCCAATCGCTTTAACGTTTAGGGTTTCAGATTTCCTGGTAATGACAATACTTTTGCATTGTTGTTCATTACATCGCTCGTGCATTGCATAGCTTAGGGGCATTGCATACCTTTATTTCGTAGAGAAAGCAGTCCTATTTACAATCCCTAAAGGGGGCGGGTCCTATTTGAGTGTGTGTCTTGAAAATGCAATTTTTAATGAGTAAGATCTAAAAATAATTATCTATCTGATGAAGCTATTTGAGTTGAATATGTTCTCTTGCCTTTTGTAGATGAAATTTTACTAAAACAAATTTGCTTTCTCCGAAAAACGACTAATACGTTTGACACGTTGATTAATGGGGGCATTCTTTATAACACCCCTGGTATGGTTCGGATAAAAACACAATATCTGCCAAAACCCCTTGGAACACCTACATATTTTGCTAAATGTTTGCTTTTTTCTTTTGCTTCCCGTATTTCTAATAGACTAACCCCTCCTCCCTAATACAATGTTGCTCACAATACAGTATATCACAGCAATCGGTGGAAAAAGGTTTGCCGCAAAAGTATGTCTTAACTTTGCTGTGAAACAACATTGTTTGAAGGGAGGGGGAGGGGAACGGATGAATGCAAACGTTGAAAATATCACAAGTGTTTCAAAAGTATTGGCAGTGATTGTAGCTTGGAATGTGAAAAACAACGTTTCTCTCATACAATCGTAATGTGGTTCCAGGGCCTCCGATGAAGGGGGGCTGGGGGGCCTTGCCCCCCCACTTTTTGCAAAACAATTGAGTTTTTTTCGAAATCTTTTGTTATGGGTGTTAAATTTTCCCTTGGCCCCCCCCCCACTGTTCAACCTCTGCGGAGCCCATAGTAATACTTTAAGATTGATTAAGTAATGTGTTTTAGATTACGTATTGTATTCATGCTAGCATAATTAGCATATTTAACATAAATCTAGTTTAGTTGCAAGAGCTTATTATCCAAGTCAAATATTAATGTTTAAATGAAACGTGGACTATGCGAAATTCGATGAGCATAAAAATTAAACGTACTATTTGGAAAAGGCCAAGTACCAGGAGCTCCTTAGAGACAATTGCTTCTTCTGTGAACATGTTTCCTGTTTTGTTACCTTTGGCAGAAAGTCTCTTTTTTTAAAGTCAATTTTATAAGAAAACCAGCCTTAGTAGTAATAAGCTAAAACTGACGTACTTGGGAATATCTAAACACTTTTGTAAGAGCACTTTAGTTTATGATTTTTTGCTAAGTATGTCAAGTGTCAAGTACCTGCATTATAATCATCATAACCAAACGGCTCTGCAGTAAACTATTATTATGCATCTAAATTTCCTTAACTTGCACCCTGGTGATTTCAGTAAAAATTATGAATAATCCTGCTTTAGAGTTTAAGAAGAATTAAAAAACAGCAATCCTGATCCTGAGTCAAAATATATAAAAGAGCACCCGAAGTGATTGAGTACAAAGTATGTTGCTGTTACCCTTGCACTCTCCGGCTACTGACTATTCCCTTTGATAATCACATTTCATTTCTGTTCTCACGATTAAAATTCCTGTTCTAAGCCCCCGTTTAGCTACCTACTTTGAATGCTCTGTGTGTAATACAGCACTGTGGTCTACAAGCAGTTCAATGCTCTGTGGACTCGTGGCAACACCAGACACAACCTTGCCTTGCACAGCTGGCCTTTCTGGAATATGACGTCGACTGTTAATGACATCTTGCCTGTTAATCAACATTACATTAGACACCCAAAGCGAAATGCTGTTTTCATTTATAAAAAATGCCCTAATAAGTTATGTCTGAACATTTTTGACATTTTAAAAACAGTCATAGAAACATCCTATCCAATTTTCATTTAACAACGACGCTTAGAAAACAAGAGTTTCATCATCTTTATTTCAATTTTCTACCATTGTAGGTCCTATCTATAGTTGGGTATGTTCTTACCTTTTATACTTTTAAGAGTATCAGATGAAAATGTTCACTGGGACTCAAAATGTTTGCATTTTTCAAAGCCATCATCCTTTTTTTAAGTAACACTAAATCCACACACTTTCAATTTTGTTGTATAATATTAACACTTCTCGGTATTTACAAAAATTTTCATTAAAGAGTAAATATTATTCTTATCGTTCTATGCATTGTACTTGTATTGTACTTGCATGCAACGCACAGTTCTGCAATCTGCTATTGTGCTACTCTAAGCTAAGCTAAAATTGAACTTTTCAATGAAGAAAATGTCAAATAAATTCTCACATGGTTTGAGCCTAGCTATTTTTCTTAATTTTTTCTTGAATATTCGCACTTTTTAGCCTCATTTTGTTTATGGTAGAACTATGTATCGTTTACAGTTTGCTAAACTTGAGTGGTTCCTTCCCTCTACTGTGACGTCAGAGTAGCGTCAAAAATTGTCTTTTATACTCTTTGTAGAAAGGGTGAAACTGAATGCATGAAAGTTGTATTTACGTGATTGGTGCTGCAACTAATCAATAAAATTTTTTGTACTGTTGGTTTGCATCAATTTGAATTTACTCATTGAGGTCCATCAACAGCTTTAATAAATGTAATAAAACTTGACAGTATCGTAAAATTGGCATTACGATATCACTGTTAAAATGCTGTAAAAACAGTTAAACTAGCTTAAAGATAAAAAGTAGACTTTTTTGAGATGTCAATGTTGGGAAGTTTACCTGTCATCAATCTTACGTTATAAATACGTTATAATTCTGATAACGTTATTTTCACTCAACGTTGCTTGCAACACCAACATTTCTTTTTTCGTTCAATTTTAAAGAATCAGTGTCATCAATAGCTAATTGCCCTAAACCAATTATATTTTCAAGCAGTGTCATAACTTTTAAGTTAGCGATTGTCAATTAATGTTGCAAATTCCTTGCTGGAAGCAATATGTTTCTGAACATTTTTGGCATTCAGTTCAAAATCTATTGCAATTAGCTTCTTAAATCAAAACTTTCCTTTAACACATTTTTTGATTTTTCTCATTTCAATTTACTCTGGAAAATTTTCTCAGTCAATGCTGGGCGCAGAAAATTTTGTTGTACACATTTTATCTGTTGTTCAAATTTCCAGAGCTGAATAGCATATTGGATGGACAGAATAACACAAAGCGTTTTGATAACATTTCATTCTTCAAGGAAATACTTTAACATCCATGGACATATACCAAATTCGTGAACGTTTTTATATCTATAAGCAATCGATATTTTTGATTCCTGTATATCTTATTTTTGACAATACCTGTAGTTTTCCTTAGTGGCAGATTTAAAAAATTAATGGATTATTTTATGTTCAAAAAATTTTCCAGATATACAAGTTTTTACTTCACGAAAATGACTAAAAATGATCATAGAGTTTGAAAAAACCTGCCTGGAATTGAGGAGCTTTGTGTTCTAACTATAGCAGGATCAAATTTACCATGATAGCTATTCATCTACTTGATAAAGTATGAATTATCGTTTGCAGATCACTTTTGAGCTTTTGAAAGGAATTTCTTTAGGTTACAGTGGTGTCAATGGATAATGGTAGGTAATTATAAAGCCACATGTTTGTATAGGAAGAACCTGGTAAACTATTTGAAGAAAAACCAGCGATTACGACCTCATTTGCAGTCGTCCAACAAGGGCAATTCCACAAATATGGAATGTGTTTTCAGTCTTTGCTTTTGGTATGATAAGTGACTAGACGACAGGTTGAATGTGATATCTACTAGACCTTGTGTATCATGTCCTTACAAGCTCCATTCAGGGACCGCGCACCAGTTTAAATGTGGGAGGGCTGAAAAGGGCGTGACAGAAAATTTTTAAGGCAACTTTCGGACCTTTATTCTGACGTTTTATACTCTGAGGAGTGTCAGACCAAAAGCTTTTAGTATGTTGTAAAATGTTTGCTTTTTTCAAAGCCATTTTCAAATTCTGTACCGCAAAAAAAATTTTCACAATATAACATCAAGAAAAACACCTAGAAAAATGAACAAAAGGGTTCCCAGTTCAGAAAAACTGCTGCTACTTAGGAGTATACGATTCAATGTTGCGTTAGAGCATAGTTAGAGTAAACTTGTTTTCGAAAAAAAGTTTTCTAACCTATTATTGCAAAAAAGTGGAGGGGCTATAGCCCCTGCCAGCCCAATGGCTGCGCGTTGCCTGGCTCCCCTTTCTTCGCTTCATTTTGTGGATCAACGGTGATACTCCTGCTGGAGCTAAAAGGCAGTGAGGGGGATTATGTCATCTTTATCGATAGCATTTTACTGGTTTAATGCTGATATCAATGTAGGTTTGATTTACGTCCAATGTAGGCCCAAAATATGACACAGTAGAGCCATCCCAAATTTTGCGTCGCATTTCAAAACATTCCAATACATCAAACATGAGGTAGCTTGATAACCGTTTCCTTAAAAGCAAAATGATGCATATTGATGCATATTAAAAGCATATTGAAGAAACTTTTTATCCTTGTCAGCAGTTTTTATGTTGTTGCTCGGCATAGGACTAGGACTAGCATCTTGATGAAGAATCAACTCAAGTATTAATTTTTTCACGGCCTACTTTTAGCTGACTTCATAAAAGTCGGGAAAAGCTGTACTCCTGTTAACAACTTTGACGTAAAACGGTTACATTTTCTCATATTTATAGCCTTTGTTTTGGGAACGAGAATTTTAATATTCTTACCCGACAGTGCAATCATAGGATATCTTGAAATATTTATTGTTGTCAATCTTTGTATGACCACGTATTGCTCTGGCCATACGTTATCAACATTTTTTGTCTCAATTTTTTCAAATGATTTTGTAGCAGATGTCGAGTGATAGCACGACACATTGCAAAGTGCTGTAATTTCAAGAGCCAAACTTTTCAATACTATTTCAGCCTGACGTAATTGATGTTCATTTCTAAACAGGTCGTTCGTAATGTTCATTTATCGTTACCCAATTCTGCATCAGATCAAAGGGTGTCTTAATCGAATCGAAAACATCAATGCTATGTTCTGAGATGTGTGTCTGAGTGGTAAAAATTTTACCAAATTCTTACTTTTTCTTTTTCCAATGGTCATTTTTATTGGTAATGATCAATAGAATAGTTGAGCGCTGACCAAAAATAATTCACTAGATTTATATCAGAACTCATCTATGTTCTCTTGTACTGACAGTTTAAACATGATGCGGGTAATAATGTGTGCTCTAATTTCCTTTGCAACATTGGGAATTTCGCACGTGCATTTTTATATAAGAAACAAAAGAAATCGAAAACTTGGGGGTCTACTATGTATTAGCAGAGAACATTCAAGGCGTGAAGAATTGAAAAAGACTTCTTCATTAAGAATCTTTTTGTTAGACATCAAGCATAAAAGCATGATTCCAATATTCTAATCGATAAAATTTTGCACAGCTGTTTGGTCTCCTATGCAAAAAGCAACATGACTAGTAGCATGTGTATCTAGGTGAA